TGTGTGTACTGCAGCCACTGCAATTTCTAAAAGTTAAACAAGTAGCAAAAACTGTACTAATCCCCTCCTTTGTTCGTAAAACGTGGCAATATTTATAACAGTCTTCAAACTATGGCTTCTACAACATAAAACGATTGACCAATATAAGAGAAATTTGCCCTTTGTTGCATCTTGACAGAACTAACATAAACCAAACTGTTTATAGATCTGTATCACGGAGAATTCATGTATCAAACATCAGTTTGATACATGTGACTTACCCGTTGAGCTATGCATATATATATAATATGCATAGCTCAACGGGTAAGTCACTCAACTTTCCCGCACCGCAGGAGACCTGGGTTCGAATCCAGGCTGGGGCAAAGATACAACAGTCAAATTGAGCTATCCAGTGTGGGTCCTTAGGCAAGACCCTTTGCGCTACTGCCTACCTCATACCATGAGACATTGATATGCATAACATGCCGGCTCAGACGTTGCCGGCCAAACAAGGTCTGTATCAGGTGCTGGGGAACCAGAGCACCTTGATGAAAAATGGGCTACTAGAACAAGATGGAAGTGGGACCTAACCCTAACTGCCAAGCAACTAGTAGCTCAGTGTTCGGCAACTGCTATCATAACTTGAGATTGATGAGGTACAACACAAATCCTACGTCAAGGGGGAGTCAGGACGCCAGGTCAGAGGGGAGTTAACTCCAACAGAGAATGGGTATGCAGCCACAGTAATGAACGAACCATCAAAGTTGAACGAGGCAGCAACTGACCTGAGAGAATCAACCACCGACGTTGTACTTAAGTAACGGCTAGCTCGCGCACACAAAAAAATCCGAAAAAACGTGAGAAGAGTCCCAAACTAGACACCGCCGCCAGCAGTGTAAGACTTGTGGGTGTCCAGATACTGTGATTCTCATTTGTAGAATAATCCACAGAAACAATTGAGCTCTTTCTCAGTGTCGAACATTTAATTTCTTTCCCGCTACTCAATCAGCTGTCCCGCACTCAGCTGTCACCAAACGTTCGCTCTTCTCCCCATCCGGGGAGCCTTTCAAAATATAACTCCAATTTTCACTCTTACACCATATTAAAACAGCTAACTGCATGTACAATGGTATTTATTTTTTCTAAGTATTTCTGAATTGGATTGATACATGGTTCAGCACATTTAAATATTCTTAGTGAGGTTAACAGTCACGCAATAGAATAGAATATTCTGATCTGATGTATGATGATCATTTTACAAAGCACACAGCTACTCATGCATTTTTCATATATTTATTTAGTAATATAAATAGTAATATTGCTAAACAATATTGCATAGCCTAATATTTATTCTATAAATACAAAGTAATAGCCACAAAATATGCAGATGTATTGTATTTATATATGACATATATGGGTTATTTTTTATGTTTTCCGGCCAAGGAGTTCTAGCTTAGGAGTGATTCAGCAGCTGAGATTCATCTGCACTGTGCAGTGAATCTTTCTTTTCATGAAGACACTTCCCACTTCTTTCTCACATTGTTGTCTTTAGGAAACATTCAAAACAAAAATGGGAGATTTGAGAGGTATCTTACTTTTGACAGAGTGGAAGAATTACATATGAATAGTCTTTTCCACTTGTGTAAACTTTGCTGGTGAATTTTATAACATATAATGTTACAATAAAAACTATATTATTGTTTTATTTCTAAGGTAGGGTTTTATATCAGATAATCTAAATCAATGTTGGGGAGTAATTAAAACTTTTAACTTGAATCTCAGTTAGCCTCCATATTGGGGGCTGAACCCCAGTATTAAACCAAGCATTATAGCTAATATTAGCTGGCTGGTGGACATACATACAATATAGTAATATTCTATTCACAAAATCTAGACAATAATATGTCCATACCCCTACTTGTGAAAAGTTATCCCCCATGCCTTCAAGTCAATAGTCCGACAATTTGAACAAAACAGCCTCAGTGCTGAGGCATCTTCTGCTGTTTTGTTGTAGCCAACTAGAAGGGACAACCACTCCAAGATGGCTGCCGAAATTCCTGCACCCAAGCAGCCGATGCAGGCTCTACTCATTATTATGTCTATGGTCCCAGTGCTACATTGTTTACGGTATTTAGTAGGCCTGCTGTATGGAGAAGACCCTGGGCAGATTAGATTGTCCTTGACAACACAAAGATATTGAAATCTGATTGGATGAAACATTGATGTCCATAGAGATATGTATGGGAAACAGCTTAGCCATGTGAAACATGACAAAAAATAGAATAGATTATTGGAAGTAAATTGATTACATTTAACTGAAACCCCCACCCCCACCCCCACATAATTTAGGTTGTAGATATGTCAGGAATTTTGACGATTTTTTTTTTTGGCCAGCAGAGAGGGCCTTGAATAGACTATTTAAGGTAGTCTAATCTCTTCTTAAAAGGCCTGTTTTGAATGTGCTGCTTCTTGTAGATGTCTGTGTGGATTATCGGTGTTCTGTCCCATCAGATTTCAATACGTACGTGTTGATGGGGAAGCCTAATGTGCCCAGTGTCTTCAGAATAGGTACACCAGGCATAGGCCTGGTAAAACAGCATAGCTACGGAATGATTCTTTTATTCAATAGGCTTTCAGATTTTCTGATTCCCAGATTCCCAACTCCTGCTCAAAGGCATACAGTGATGTCAGATGTTCTCCCCCTCTGATTGGATGGTCAGAGCGAATTTCTCACCCCAAAGTTTTGCTAGCAAAGCACTTTGCCAGCAATCTGCATTGCTCACATTAATATGTGGGAATTTATTTTATTTTATACACAATGGCTGACAAAAATAGTGAAATTGTTCTGGTCTCAAATATAATAAAAAAATCAACTTTCATGACGGACGTTTTCTGACCTACTGGACATTGTAAAGACGGGTGGGGAGTCTCAGCCCTGAGATTTACCATTTGGTCAGTATTGCAGATTAAATGGCTGGGATTTAATTTGGAATATTAAATAATACATAAAAAAAAATCAGCAAGTGAGTATGTGCTTCATTTATTTCCCTTTTATGGCACACTTGGCTGTAGGGTAGGGGTTTTGCATGGTCCAGTTGGATTTCTTGTTTTAATAGCAATAGTATTCACTCTCAATACAAGAAAAACCGCAAATAATTAAGTATTAGTAGGCTAATCGATGAGTAAACAGTGCTGCACAAATTGTAGCGCCCTCTCACTCGCTCCCCACCTTTCCTCCGTGTCATAAACAGCCTGTTGCAGTATAATAGCGATTATATAAAAACAATATCACAAGGAAATCTACATAAGTGCTTAGCTGTCTGTGTTTATTTTGGATACAGTACAGTTAGTTAAAATCCATGGTCACTCAGGACACATTTAAATACCCAAGATGCATTTAGAGCAGGATGCTTGAAATCTGATCACACAGTACTGTTGTTAATGCCAGGGCTGAACAAACCTCTGTAATACCAGACCTTGTTATATTGCGCTTTTTCTTTACTATGGAATTGGTAAATTGTATAATTGTAGCATCATAGTGGTAGATTAAAGCGGTAAAGTCCCTCTTATGACTGAAAATATCCTATATAGAGACCAATGGAGGAAGAAGTGACTTGCCTGCACGTAAGGAGTGCTTCAAAGAAAACTGCAAACCTGGCAGTGATTCTTATATTTCTTCAAAGGAGACACTTAAGTCATAATTTTAGAAAAACTGCTTTAGGTAACTTCAAGTTTACCTAAAGCCTTGTGACCAGTTTAAACTTTCTGGCCTAAAGTAGGCAAAAGTAGTTAGTTTTCAAAGAGAGCAAAGATTTTGCTCAATTTTGAGCAACAACTTTCTTGAGCTTTTCATAGTATTTCTATAGATGAAAAAAATCTATGTTTTAAAAAGTATAAGTCATAGCCATAATGTCCTTAATGAGCTGAATATTTTGAAAGTTGAATAGCTGAAATAGCAAAAAGCATGAAAAAGTAAATAGGTGTCAAAGAATTGTTTAACATAGTAAAGCGAACTAATTGAGAGAAGTGGGACAAAATGGTCTATGTTTGACAGCATTCACACAATGAATGGTTGAAAAAGCATTGTAAAACTGAAGGTTTGTGAAAGAAGCAACATGCAGGCGTGTGCAGACGGTTTTTCTTAAGAACTTTAAAATGCATATCTCAAGATACACAGACAGCGGTATAGCCCTGATGGTGGTTGGTAAGTGAAATCCAGTTTATTTGACAACAAGCTAGTTAAAAGTGCTTTATGTAATAAAAACATAACACTATTAGCAAACAAAAAAGAAGCATTACATTACAGTGGCAGAATAAAGAGAAGTAATGAAAAGTTGGAATCCTGACCAGAATAAATTATTTTCCTGTTATTATGAATGAAATGCAACTCTAAACAAATTGGCTTTTAGCCTTGAAGAACTCAGGGTTTCAGCAGTTTTACATTTTTGTGTCAGTTTGCTCCAGATCATAGGAGCTTAAAAACTGAACGCTGCTTCTCCATAATTGGTTCTGATTCAGCAGCTGTAGAGCATTCCAGATCAGAAGACCTGAGTGGTTTGGGAAATGTGGTAAATTGATTATAGATCTTTAATGTTTGTACAGATCCGTGTGATATCTTGTATAGACAAGATAAAGTACACACCTGGCTTTTTGCCCCTGTCTTGATGATGCCAATATGCTTGTGAAAATAACCAATGGGTTTTAGCTAAAGTGTATTTCTCCCATGGTTTAATGACCTTTTCTATTTCTATCAATGAAAATTTGGTGTATAATAAACTAAGCCTTTCAGCCTGAACCAGATTTTAAAAATCACTCCAGACATATTCACAGACTACAGACATAAAATGAGCTATAACAGAAAACACTGATAAAAGGACTGCGACTGATGAATTTGCTTCATCTAACTTCTTCCCCCATTTTATTGAAGTATTGATTTCCCAGCCTAAAAAATTTACCAGATTTAAATGTTTACAGAAACACATGTAATGCCATTAAAATAAACTTTTGATATGTTTTTGCAGCCTGAATATGGAGAATTTAAAATAGCTGAAAATGTCCTACACTTGATTTACAACCAAGGAATGATCTGGTAAGTTTGAAAGATTATTCGTAGCCCTAGTAAAAAGAATCTGATATAGAACTAATAGAGTGTCTGTTGCTGACTGTAACCCTGTTTAAAAGAATAAATTTATAACTACACAGATAATGAAGTGAAATCATGACCCTTTAAGCGTAATGCCTTTTTTATAATGCTGTGTGTGTTTGTGCGTGTGTCTTTCATCAGGATGGGAGCCTTTTTCTCTCCATGCCTTCCTGCCTTTAATGTGTTGAAACTGATTGGTCTCATGTATCTAAGGAGCTGGGCTGTCCTCACTTGTAATGTTCCTCATCAGCAGGTTTTCCGAGCTTCCAGGTCAGGTCTGCAAATCTCACCACACACACACACCCCTCCAGTCACACATATTTTATGTGGACAATCTCCCTATCAAAAATAAAATCCTGCAAATTGCAAATGTCCATGATACACTGAATGCCAACTACATTCTATGTAAGCCTTTCAAAATAACTGCTGTCTGCACAATTTTATGGCCCATTTAATTCTTATGTTGCATCCAAAAGTTTCCATTGGTTGTTCATTTGATAGAAAAAAAAGATTTTGGAGCACACTGCTTTAAAGGGTTAGTATTGTGTATTTTTAGGCACTTAGTACAATCAATAACTGTGTAGGTTATCAATCAATAAATCAAGTTTATTTTTATTGCACATTTCAACAGCAAGGCTGTTCAAAGTGCTTTACATAATAAAAAACACAAAATTACAAAGTTATAAAGAAAACACCAAATATTAAAATATTTGTTTTTTATAATATAAAAATATTACATGTTGATGAGCTCCATCAATAAAAATCAAACACATCAAATGTTGATCAAGGTTTAATTTATTATGGCTCTAAAAGAACTCTGAAGAGGTGAGTTTTAGTCTAGATTTAAGGGAACTCAGTGTTTTACAGTTTTCTGGAAGTTTGTTCCAGATTTGTGGTGCATAGAAGCTGAATGCTCAGGTCTGGAAGGTTGGTACAACAACAGCAGATCTTTAATGTATTGTGGTGCTAAACCGTTCAGTGATTTATAAACTAACATCAGTATTTTAAAGTCTATTCTCTGAGCTACATGGAGCCAGTGTAGGGACTGGTGTGATGTGCTCTATCTTCCTGGTTTTAGTGGGAACTCGAGCAGCAGCGTTCTGGATCAGCTGCAGCTGGAGGATTTTTTTTTTTATTTTTTTAGGCAGTCCTGTGAAGACACTTTTGCAGTAATCAATGCGACTAAAGATGGTCTGTCACAATAAAAAAAATTTGCTGAGCGATTAATTGTCTCAAAAATTATTGCAATAAACGATAATATTGTTTGAGGAGCTTTTTACATTGATTTAATGGTAATGACATAATAATCCAAGCAATATCATGCCAAAAGTACACGTTATTTAAAAAAAAAAACACTCAACACCGGAACTGGTAAACAAAACTCAAATGAACTCTCAGTCTATGTTAACAAAAAATGCACTTGGATAAAAACTAACCATAACATGAAGAAAAGTGATGTATAACTTACAAGTAGGAGGCAAGGTGTAGCATGCACCTCCGCTTCATAAAAAGGACTGCTCCTCTTCTAAGTAAAAGGTCACATGAACCTCAAT